TCGGCGATGAAATTAGGGGCGTCTTTCCCTTGGAGCTTTCCCCCCTCCGCATTCTTAGACCAACACATCTATGCACCCTCATGTGCTATTCTAATGTTCTTCCTATTTTGCAGAAAAGGGTTCGTTGGATGTGCATTACTAGTTTGTTCACTCCCGGTACGTTGACTTAGGTCCTACGGAAAAGAAGCAAAAGCGCGTATGTGTTGGAATGCTACGTATAAATGCCTCGACGTACGCATGCTCCTACGTGTATGTGCTTTGACATTTGCGTGGTTTCACGCATGTGTTCTATGCATGTGCACTTCTGCACAGCTGCAGCGAATATAGCTTACACAGATGAGCAACACAGAATTGACAACCAAGCCGATGACATAAAAATGCGCGAAGTGCTTTTTCGAAATTGTCATGTGGTTTATCTTCCTCCTCAGCCTCGAAAACGTGGAGTGCGTTTTTTCCCCATCCGTTTCACCCTTTTCAACTCTGATGTACAAATTCTTCCCATGCAGGGACCATTCATTTATTGATTTGAAGTGGAAAGAAAGAAGGAGGACAAAACATCCAACGGTGTAATAAGCTTTACAGATAATTTTCAGAATCCCTTCTTCGCTCATGGCGTGTATCAATGATGAGACGTCGCACATCATTTTGTACACTAGTTCCGACACGCTGAATCAGGATTTCCTCTGGCCTCTCACTGCCCCCTTTTAATTTTTTTTTTTCCATTTTTTAAACGTTTAACTGTTGGTTGTACGCCCATGTCCGCAGATACGCCTTTTCATTTTCCAAATGGCAATACTGAATGGTCAAAGGAGCACCCTTTTAGCTAGGCACTACAAGCGCATAACGAGTAAAGTACGGCTGCATTTTATTTTCTATGCGTATCTTTCGTGAAAAAAAAACTCTTGCGTTCTTTTTATCCTTTTGGGGGAGGAGTTCATTTAATCAGTTTATGACTACGGTATGCTTTGACATATTTTTTCTTTCTTCATTTTCATCTGTGACGGGTCTCAGTCACCGTCCCCACCTATGCCCAAGCATCTATGCGTACACATGAAACGCCTGTACATGGGCAAATATATTTTTTTGCTTTCGTAAAAAAATCGATGTGCTCTTGGCACATGCCAAACGGGAGCTGTACACCCATTCAAGCATACAAAAATTAGGCGAGTTGATAATTTACACCTTTTATTTTTTTTTTTTTCTTGTGCCACATCAGAGGCGGTGCCTTAAAATCCTGCCACGTGCACCGAAATATTACCGCCCGAAAGTTGCCTCTTTTCGTGCAGTGCCACATAGTGAGACACACGTGTAGATCCCTAGGCACGCATCCTCTCCTCCCGTTAAACCCATTCCACAAAAAGATTTCAACTTAGCCAATTTACGATTAGTAAAAGATTCTTCCATCATTGAGGGAAGGAAGATCCATAACAAAAAAAAAAGAACGTATCGTCATAAGGGATAAACTTATTTCCGTTGTGCAAAACGGTTTTTCTTATCCATTACAGGTTCATGTATGTGTTAATATATATCATTTGGGCGTCCTTTTGGTTCCTACACGAGAAAGGACTGGGTGTAGCATAATTTAGGTATCTTTTTCTTTCTTTTTTTTTTTTTTACTTAACCATTGATTTAGCAAAATTAATCTACCCTTGTGCAGAGACTTCTATACCCCCCACCCCCGATGATGGACCGCTTTTCCGCAGAGCTGCCTGCCAAATGGACGATTCATGGGAGTCCCTTCTTGCTCTAGCCACTCTTTTCCCAGGGTGAAAATTTAGAATAAAGTCAAGGAGCAGGGGAAACTGTTGACATTATATATGCTTGTTCTCACGCGGAGAAACGCATCGTGTCTCTGGATGAAAAACATATGACTTAAACGTTGCGAATTTTAAATGGATTGCTCCGGTGAATTGTTAAGCTACCATCCGATTGCTAAATGCACATGTGTACATTTATTCATCCGTACATATACGCTCATGCCAATCGATGAGGTGTTGTCCGCCACAGGCACGGACAAAGGACTCAGGCGAGGACGCGCACATGCATAATGTTCAAATTGACAGAGTAACACTTTTGTCTGGAGTCTTTATTCCTTTTCTTTGTCTACCCGTAAAGCGAATACGTCCGTTTTGGATACATTATGAGGGAGGGAAGCTCTTCAAATTAGGGTAATGCGGGCAGAAGCTACCTTCAGAACGCGTAGAAATAGCTAAGCGGCCTAACCAACTAGCTACGGGCGCATAGAAATAGCTGCAAGGAGTGACTAACCAGCTGTGCAGCGCGCACGAATGGCTTCGCCCCACTACCCTGTGGGCATAACGGTCCACATATGGCAGTTTCTCTGTGCTCTTTCTTCGCTCTTTCTCCGCACTTTCTCCGCTGTTCCTCCGCTCTTTCCCCAAATGTAGAATCCGATTTTCATGTTGGAAATATTTTGCCTCACGAGTAGCCTTCTCATCATACAATAAGGAGGGGTGTAAAAAAAAAAAAAAAATGAGCAGCCAAGGCACACATTATCATCTGTTTTCGTGTGTATCTCATTTTTTTTACTCCTATTTGCGTTGTTGTGCGCGGTAAGTAAAAGAAAGAGTAAAATTAAAACGGAAGTCGACTTTTCGAAATGAGTTTTGTGAGCAAATTGCACGGCATCACACATTCATTCGTTTGTTCGTTTGTTTACGAGTCTTATTGCGCATTTGTTTGCTCCTTTATTTGCTCAAATTTTTCCCGTTTATTTGCCCTTTTTTTCTCGCTTATTTGCCCTCTTTTTCCCGTTTACTTGCCCTTTTTTTCTCGCTTATTTGCCCTCTTTTTCCCGTTTACTTGCCCTTTTTTCCCGTTTATTTGTCCTTTTTTTCCCGTTTATTTGTCCTTTTTTTCCCGTTTATTTGTCCTTTTTTTCCCGTTTATTTGTCCCCTTTGTTTGCCCTCCTTTGCTCATTTCTTTCCCCACTTCCCCATTGGCCCGTTCGTCGATTCACCCCCTGGACCTACAGTGTTGCTACCCCCGATGCAAAATCGCATCGCATATTTGTAACAGACTCACAGGATAATCATTTTTTTGTTTAAATTATCTGGCAGCATATTTTCCCCCTTTTTTTTCTTCTTTTTTTTCTGTCACATACTACATCTTACTGACAACTGGCATATATGAACTATTCAACTCTTTTGCAAAGAAATTAAAAAAAAAAAATACACAAATGACAAGGCATTACAAATTAATCCTTAATCAGACAAGTGAAAAGGCAATCGCATGTAAAACAAAAATTTTTAATTAAATGAGGCACACATGATTATGTATGAAGAGGGATTCTTTCCTTCTTTTTACAAGCAACGTTTTATATGCTTACTGAGTAAATTTTTGCAGAACTGGTTTATTTATTTTTTTGTTTTCTTTTTTTTTTTAATATGGTTTTGTGTTCATTTTAAAAGGGGCGTTCATGCCACAAAACGTGCAACCCCAACGCTCTGTGGTCACCGCTGCAACCGTTGCTGAGTATTTAGAGGGGATGTTAAACCGCTGAATACACAAACGGATAATTTTGCAATGAGTAATTTGAAGCTCTTCTTGTGGGTGGGGAAAAATTAAAGAAAAAAAAAAATCGACATTGCTAAAACAGTGCAGATGCATTTATGTTCATTTGTTTTTTGACTCCATTCGTTATGTTTTACTTTTTATTTGATTTCGTTCATTACTATTTTATTTTCGATCCCGTTATTCCCGCGGTAGCATCACCTTCACAGATACCTACGAGCGTACGCACACCTTTACACAAACCAATACACACGTTCAAACACAGAAATACACATGTTCACACACAGAAATACACACGTTCACACACACCAATACACACGATCACACACACCAATACACACGATCACACATACCAATACACACGATCACACATACCAATACACACGATCACACACACCAATACACACGATCACATGAATCAGGTTTCCCGTGCATACGTAAAAATGAGGCCATGATTTTATTTCTTTAATAATTTGCATTTGTGCAACTATGTGTTCAGGTGCGACCAGTGGAGTTGCAACCGATTGATCAGTCGTCTGCCCAAGTGCCCCTCTGTGCGACTTTATCTGACGAACGAGGTTGTGCCCCCTCTCTGCATTAAAGACATTTTTTCGTTTTTAAATATGTCTTTGTACTTTACCCATTTTGCATTTTGATCTGCTGATTTTGTCTTTTGATCTGTTCATTTCTCTTTTTAACTCCTCATTTGTGTATGCAGTTTGGATCCCATCAAGGAAACTTCCTTCCCGCTTCCTTTTTAACATTTTCGCAATGTCCTTGTTATTTAGCTTTAACGAATTCAGTCTTTCAACATTTCTGTTCTGTGTGGATGAACGGCTGCATTGCTACGTATCAGCGTAGGTACAACCGCATAACTATACGCATACGCGTCTTCGCGCTTGTGCCATGATGCCGATATAGCATCACCAGCACACTGTGAAGGTAAATCCGCACCACAATACATTTGGAACCTTCCGAATTGGCAAAAAAAAGGGAACACTTTCCCCGAGTTTCCCATCTAGATCATAAAGTGCATATAAAGACACATGCACATGAGTAAGCAGGGGTATGCACGCATATGGACTAAGGGAGAAATCACTTGCGAAGCAAGAA